CCATTAATTTTTGGAATTTTTTTTTTGTTGACGGTGTTACGCTTTTTTTTCATACACAGTTAGTATGTTAGAGAAAATTACTATTATATGCCAACATCACTTAAAACTCGTTCATAGGCCTGCCATTTTAATAAGCTGTTAAGGCGTCGAAACACCGAATAAGGGACAAATACAGGGCATTAAAAGAAGTATAGAACATTTGGCGTCCCGTATAAAATAAATAAATTACCAATAAACAGGACATTCTTACATACATCCCCATCGAAAAACTTCGACTCTGGCTGACCATGGTTGGTCTATCGCTTGCGGAAGAAAAAGCTGGAGTTAAAATTTATAGTCGGCAATGCATCGATAAAATCGAGTCGACACATCAAGTGTTTAGGAGTACTTATATTAATCAAAAATAGCAGTTCTTTTGCGACAATGGGTTGTATGAAACCTTTTACTATTTTGTTTGAATAAATCGAGTAAAAGGTCTGAAATTTTAAGAAAAAGCAATTGCTTACTTTACATTCATACGGCCCATTGCTTAAAAATTTTGGCGGTCTAAAGCGGGATCACACGATTTGTACATCTGTATATACATATACATTGTACAGTTTTGATAGTTACAGAGTGGATTGTTTTATTGAGCTGTACCTACCAAAATGTACAAACCTGTACAAATGCACAAATCCTGTGATCCCTGCTTAAGAAGCAAAAGCCTTCTCAAATGTGGTGACCTTCATTGGTGACAAAGGCATATAATCCAATGATTGCATCGGTGCACGGACTAAGGGCCATTTGTTCAATGTCTGGTTTCCACTTAAACTTCATTTAGACGTTTTCGATATTATGCAGATAACATGTGTTCGATAAAGCAGCACTTAAATATTCTGCAAAATGGTTGCCCAAGTGTTGTTAGTCCCATACTTTCGCAGATAAGATTTTCAACTGTCTCCTTCGAGTCGGGGTCATTGTAGCTGATGCAGAATCTGTTAAAAGTAATGTGCGTGAAACCGTAAATTTTGTAGGTATTTTCCTTATTCATTGTCAACGGAATTTATGTAGATCGTAGGTAAATATTCCAAATATATCTACCTCTTCCTACTTTTCGAGTTTTGGATTTCGGTGATTTTGCTTTTGATTTCCCTGAGGAAAGCGCCTACGTCGGCCACGTGGAACTTATTTAGTTCAGATCTCACCCGTTCATCTGCTGTCCTATTCACATATAAGCCTTTGTTTCCCAGGACCCATATTCAGGTAATTTTGAAGTGATTAGTAATTGAAGTCAACTCTCTTTTATTGTTCTCTACAAGTTCGAACCTAATTGAGAAAGCGAACAACACCTAAATTTCATCTACCTGCTTTGTATCAGAGAAAATCTTCCGATTAAAGTGGTTTTTCATTTTTAATCGAACGCAGTGGAAAGCCTCGCGTTGCTAGATGGTTTCAGATAGAGTGTCTTAATCAAAATTCCTACACCTAACCCACACTTCACCTTTGATCCGTCAGTAAAGACAGACTTGTCCTGCAATTCACTGGGCCCAGTATTTATATGCTACATACATACATACATACATATAGTCGGTTGGCAGCGCTTCTTTATCAGATAAGAATCTATTTAAGATGGCATTGCATTGGCAACAGTGGAATTTTCGACAAAAACATCTACATATAGGTACTTAAACAAACAGAACGTTCAGAGCCTACATTGGGCAGTTTCACATTGTACCCGTTGAGTCAACAGCTGGCCTCCGAATTTCCCAAGTGTTTTAACGACGTAGACCTTAGCAAAGGCTGGCCACCAGACCAGAGCATCATATGAAATTATGATTCGGACTCAATGCGCGTAAGTATACCCAGTACACAATCTTTGGATTCAATCTCCATCTGTTGCCTAGAATCTTTGCTCGCTCCTCATTGTCGAGTTTACAATTAGATTGGAATGCAGAACAATTCCAATATATTTTACCCTGTATAAGATATTCAGTTCAGTACCACTGAATTTAGGTTGCTCGTTGGTAGAGGGCATCAGGTCCAGCAAACAAAAGGTCCAATAAAACATCAATAAATATTTTTGGGATATTTATCAGGTGTCACAGGTGTGCGTCCAAATGATTTTATTTCAAATGCGTGCATACATACATATCATCTTTAAACTTTAAAGCCGTTGATTTTTTGAGTTATGACACTAGTGAAAAAATCGCCGATATATGTTCCTATCACGCAACTGTGTAAATGTAATATGTATGTATGCGGATACATTTGTGTCTGTGAATGCAGAACACATTATTTTGTAAATGCTCTCATTGTAATTGTTATTTAAAAACAAAATTTATTCATGCGCATTAGCTGCCAAAATTCAATTTGTGGGCAGCACGTCGCGCCAGCGCCAACACCATGCCAATTTGTGTGCCTGCGCATACCAAGATTTGCCGCCCAAACACGCGCATGCACACCTCAAACACTCGGTAGATATGAAATTTTGATAACTGATAATTAAGTCATAAGGTGTTCAAGCAAATCGAAGGTGCCATTGAATGAATTGAGTCCATTGAGATTGTAATCAATTAATTATTTGGGTTACAATTTGCGCATACGAATCAATTGAAATCCAAAAAATAAACTTTAAAAATGCCGCTTAACTGCATTCATATGTACATACTACATATGTATTTACATACGATTTTTTATTTTTTATTTGGCTTGCATTTAATTAAAATGCGCTTCCAATAAAGCAACAAATACACATGCATAACTCATTGCCAACTTAACTGGCAGCCACATCACTTTTCGCAACGTTAGAAGATGCGCTACGCTCATTGTTCTAATGCTTTCAGGCTTATCTAAAGCTTAGATCCTCCACATTATAGTTGCCTAATAGGATATCTGACTGTGCTTGTTGATGTTGAAAATTCAATAGCTTACGATGCCGATAATGCATTGTCTTCAAGCGCTGCATGCGACGCTTGAGATTGCAATAGACTGGACAGCAATCCGGAAAGGGTTTATACATCAGCTCTTCCTCGTCACCTTGCTCGCATTGCTCGGGTAGTATATCCATACAGCTGATTGACATATGAGTAGATAGATAAAATTAAAAAGAAATAAGAAAAAATTTAATGATTAGTATTATCACATAAATTGAAAGATAGGGAATAATGGTGCAACTACGAATATCTACTCGTTGGGTCTAGACATCTTTTCCACTACAAAAATAGACCTGGAACGTTGTACGACTTGATTATTCTCACAAAACAAATTCGCACACAAGCTGAGTAGCACTAAACGGCGTGGCAGGAATTTCGATTGCTCCCACATGCAGCGGCGATATGAACCTTAAAAAGAAAGAAAATACATATGAATAATTTATACATATGTATATACATAAGTATTAGGGATGTTTCGGATATATGCGAATTTTCGGAATGCGAATCTGCGAATGCGAATGTTAGGAATAACATTAAAAAAGCTATAATCAACTAAAGGCATCGTTTTTATTACTTAAAAATCTTGTAAATTATTAGAACATTGAACGAGTGCTTAACCTATACAGTGTTTTAATTTAGTAGTCAGAGTTCAAAAGGCGCATATTATATTTCAAAAAAAGTAATATTTGCGGGCCAGATCTGTCAATTTGTCGTATTTTAGTTTAGTTTTCCACCAATCGAGAGGATTTTCACCGAGATGAGCTCGTTTTTATTTAAGATAGGCCTTCAATTGAGCTTTAATTTCACCTTTGTTAATGTCCCCAGATTCTACATTCGAGCCTTCGCTTTCATTGGAGGAATCTAAAATTAATTCTAGGTTGCTTATAAGCAGGGAATGGATTTTTAGGATCTAAAAGCCTAAAAAAGGCAAAATAAAATAGCGAAAAAGGCAAGAAAAGGCATTAGAAATCGCAAAAAGACAAAAGAAGGCACTAAAAAAAGACTAAAACCGAAAAGTAATCAAAAAATATATTTATTTTAGGAATGTTTATTTTACAAGTCAAAAAGGAGAAGAACTGTAAACTAGTTTCATTAATTGAAAAATTTCTACTCTAAATCTTTGACTATTTTCTCCTTTCGAGTTTAACGCGACTAGCTGAAAGTAAACTAATTAACTAAGAGTCTACAAACCTCTTCGTACTACGTCACTAAACTTAACAGGAAGGATATGGGCCCTGGAAACCCAGCTCCTAAACTATAACCAGGGCACATCTCCCTCTGTGACAGCTGGTTGCAGCCTAAACGGAATAGGGTGAAAAAATGGGTCTCGAAAAGGGGTCGTGGCACTCCCATAGGCGTGAAATTTTGAATCAGCTATAACTTCGGAACTATAAGTCACATGATTTGGAAATTTGGCGTTCGATAAAACATTTTGCTGCACTGACGCAAAAAATGTAGCTATGTGGAATATCCATGACTGTAAACAATTAATTTTGATAAAGAGTCGGTTATTTAAAACGGTTTTTTTTTTTACTTTTGTACTGCCACTATCACCTGAGTGGGCTCATCTGTAGCCCAGTAAATTTGAATTAAACGAAGAGAAATTTCAAGTTGTTAAAAATTTGCGCTAATTTTTTGGGAATTTTCTCTGCATACTCAAAATCTTTTTAGAAAATCTAATTAAAAGGTTGCTAATTTTTATGCAAATTTATTGAATTTCTTGACGTTTGCACGAAAACTAAAAGTTTTATTATATAATTTTTCTCGTAATATCGACTATACCCTTATAAAACATTAGCGAACGCAAACTACGTAGACTTTTGGCGCAAACTGTACATTTATGTATGTAATTACGCACATTTCTTTTTCGTACACCATACACAAAATAGTTTCAATAACTGCATTCATTTCAAGTTATTAATATCAACGAGAACTCTGAAATCCC